AAAAGAAAATCAAAATAAACCAATTAGAATGCAATTAGAAGGAGAGAAATAATAAAAATAAGAGCAGAAATCAATGAAACTGAAAACAAAAAAACAATAGAGAAAATCAATGAGACAAAGAGCTAGTTCTTTGATAAGATCAATAAAATTGACAAACCTCTAGCAAGATTGATTTAAAAAATAAGAGAAGACAGAAATTACCAATATCAGGAATGAAACAGAGGGTATCACTATAGAGTCTGGAGACATCAAAAGAATAATAAAGTAACGCTACAAACAACGCTACACACATTAATTTGACAATTTAGGTGAAACGAACTATTCTCTAAAAAACACAAGCCACCACAACTCAACCAATATGAAATAAATAATTTGAACAGCCCTATAACTATTAGGGGAATTGAATCTGTAATTTAAAAACTCCCAAAAAAGAAATCTCCAGATCTAAATGATTACACTGGAGAATTCTACCAAAAGTTTAAAGAACAATTAATATAAATTCTACACAATCTCTTTCAAGAAATAAAAGAGGAGTGAACACTTCCCAGTTCATTTAATGAAACTACAATGATACCAAAACCAGACAAACATAGAATTAAAAAAAACTACAGACCAATATCCCTCATGAATAGAGACAAAAGTCCTTAACAAAATATTAGCAAACAGAATTTAGCAACATATAGAAAGAATTACACCATGACCAAGTGGAGTTTATTCCAGGAATGCAAGACTGGTTCAATATTGAAAAATCAATCAATGTAACCTACCATATTAACAAGCAAAAGAAGAAAAATCACAGGATCATGTCAATTGATACAGAAAAAGCATATCAAAATTCAACATTTATTCAGGATAAAAAAGAACTCTCAGAAAACTAGAAATAAACAGAAACTTCCTCAATTTTATAAACAACATCTACAAAATGCCTCCAGCTAATATTATGCCTAATAATGAAACACTGAATGCTCTCCTCCTAAGATCAAAAACAGGGCAAGGACATCTACTTTTATCACTCTTGTTCAAACTGGTGCTGGAACTTCTAGCCAATGCAAAAAGCCAAGAAAGGAAATAAAAGGTATTCGTGGGTGTGGCCTGGTGGTGTAGCGGTTAAGTTCACGAGCTCCACTTAGGCGTCCCACGGTTCACAGGTTCGGATCCCGGGCACGGACACACGCACTGCTTATCAAGCCATGCTGTGGCGGCGTCCCATATAAAGTGGACGAAGACGGGCATGGATGTTAGCCCAGGGGCAATCTTGCTCAGCAAAAAAGAGGAGGATTGGCATCAGATGTTAGCTCAGGGCTAATCTTCTTCAAAAGAAAAAAAAAAAGGTATTTGTGGTTAGTGCCATCCAGTCTATTCAGACTGCAGTGAACCCTGCTCAGTCTTTTTTGTGCCATCCTCTCATCTTCCAGAGTTGTATCAGACAAAGCTCCACTGCTAGTCACAGGATTTTCATGACCAGTTTTTTCAGAAGTGGGTGGCCAGGTCCATCTTCCTAGTCTGGACGCTCCACTGAAAGCTGTCCACCATGGGTGACCCCACTGATGTTTGAAATCCCAGTGGCCTAGCTTTCAGCAACACAGCAACACTCAGCTGCCTGAATATGACAACAAACAGACGGGTGCTGTGGTTCCCTGAGCAGGAAAAGAACCCCAGCTGTGGTGTTGAGAGCACCCAATCATAACCACTAGACCACCAGGGCTGGCTAGCCTATACAGTAGCTGCTAGCTATTGAGCACTTGAAATGTGGCTAGTCCAATGTAAAATACACGCTAAATTTCAGACTTAGTACTAAAAGAATGTAAACTATCTCACAACTATTTTTATATTGATTACACATTGAAATGACAATATTTTCAATCAATTAGGCTAAGTATATTATTAAAATTAAACTCACTCATTTCTTTTTACTTTTTTGCAATGTGGCTTCTAGAAAATTTTAAATTACATATGTGACTATGTGGCTAACATTATATTTCCATTGGACAGTACTATTCTAGCTAATTTAAAGCCCTTTTCCAACTCAAGGCCTCATACTTTCCTTAAAATAGTATATCTTCCAGCCAACTGTGACATGACCCTTTCACATTTCATGCCTTGAAATTTACCCTAAGATTCATCCTTTGGGTAAACGACACTGGCACTGTATGACATAGTTTCAAGAAAGCATTTAATACGAATTTTCAATATGAATGTGGAATATGGAGATTGTCTAACCCTTCCCCCATTACCCATTAACTTAGATTAGTTTATAAGATTGCAGGATTAGTTTATTTGATCTTGAAAAGAACATCTGGCTCAAGTTGAATTTCAGAGGTGTTGAATTTCAGAGGATGAAACATCACCTAGGTAGTCAGGAAGCAAGGAAACTAGTGGGGTAAGAAGTAGGGCAGAATGACACAACCAGGTCTTCATGCTGCATGGTTATAGAAGGATGAAGCCCTCAGGGCAGGGCCAGACCCAGGATGATTGACAGGTACTGGGGGCCAGTGATAAGAAAGGATTCACAGACAAGTACCTTTGCCTCCTTACCACACACACACAAAGTAGGCCCTTGATGAACATTAGACATGCACACAGCCTCAGTTTCCTCATTTGTAAATGAACCCCTGTATCCTGAGGTTGTTATAAGAATTAAATGAAACAATATAGAAAGTGCCTGGTACATAATAAATGCTCAGTAAATAGTAGCAGGTATGATGTGTCCTTCCTTTGCCACCTTTAGGCAAATATTCTACATAGATGAACCTGAGGATGTGTTCCCCACAGTTACTAAGGAGTGAGCCTAGGCTTGCGAAAAATAAAATAGCAGACTACACATTCAGATTAGTTATGTTGCTAGTAGATAAAAGTCAAATACAAACCCATTTGCGAAACTTAATAATTCAAATTGCTAAAGTTTTCTCTAACCACAAACTGTAATTTTATCTTCAGAATATTAAAGAGCATTAAAAGCACTTATCCTGACAGAGCCATTTAAATATTTGAGCAACAGCAGGGAATGTTTTTGTGCTACCTAACAGTCAGTAAACACGCCACAAATGCTAAGTAAGAGAAAATCCTATTCTTGATTATTAAAAATATCAGGTAAGCCAAAGGGATTTACCTCCTTTCTCATAGCAGACTTATCCTTTAGGGTAAAACTCTTCAGTTGTTAATACTTGAGATTTATAAGGTACACTTATCAGATTGGAAATGGTGCGAGTCCATTCATTCATTCATTCACTCATTTATTCAGTTCTGGCACTGTGATAAGTACTAAAACAAACATAAGCAATGTTGGTAATAAAGGGCTATCGATTCCACAGTTGAAGAATGTACAGAGTGCTGTGTGGCTCAAAGGAAGGAATGGTTGTACCTGGAGGTAGGGGATGGAGTATTATTCAGGAAAAGCCTCCTAGTGGTTAAGCTTGAAATAACCCTGGAATTGAGTCTTAAAACAGATATGTATGTAGATCCAGTCACGTGCCGCATAACGATGTTTTCATCAAAGACAGACCGCATCATACGATGGCGGTCCCATAAGATTAGTACCGTGTAGCCTAGGTATGTAGTAGGCTATACCATCTAGGTTTGTGTAAGTACACTCTGATGTTCACACAAACCCCAAAATCACCTAATGATGCATTTCTCAGACGTATCCCCATCGTTAAGTGACACATGATTGTAATGTGGCATTGAAGTGGGTTGAGGGTAGAGGCAAATGGACCAATAACAAGTAAGGAAAGTCAGAAAAGGAAGAGCGTCATTCTGGACAAGGTAAAAAGAGTGTGTATGTTAAGCTTGTGTCTGTGTGGTGAGTGGAGTGCAAGTGGGGCTACATGATGTCGGGCTTTATCGGTCCCACTAGGAAGTATGGACCCCATCCTAAAAGCAATAGGGAGCCGTTGAAGGAGTTCACTTCAGCTGCCTTGTGGGAGAGAGATTTCAGATGAAAAAACTGGAGGCAAGAAAAGCATTTTCATAATCCAGGGAAAAGTCAGGAGCTGGGGGAAAGGAGAGCAGCAGATACATATCAGAGATGCTAAGGAGGTTGAGTCTAGAAGACTTAGTAATGGATTGGCTGTAGGAGGTGAGAGAAAGGGAGAAAGCTAGGATGACCCCCCAGGTCTCTGACTTGGGTGAGTAGATGGGTGATGGTATCATTTCCTGGATTGGGGTACAGGAGGGAGAACAGGTTTTAGAGGAAGGACAAGTGCAATTTTGAGAATGTTGAGTTTGAGCTGCCTATGTGACGTTCAGGAGGAAAGATCTTGAAGAAAGCACTTGGAACTTAGGGAAAATGTCTGAGATGGACATATAAATAGGGGTCATCAGTATACAAGTAGAAGGTGGAACCATGGACATGGAAGAAATTACCAGAAAAGAGTAAGAAGGAACAAAACCCAAGGACCCCAAGGAGCATCAGTATTTCAGGGTGGGGATGGAGAAGAGTTATCAGACAGGGAGAAGGAGAATTAGGAGGTGGTGGTGTCATGGAAATCAAGAGTAGAATTTTAAGAAGAAAGGAGTGATCAATGGAGACAAGTCTATATAAAAATCTAACAAGGTGAGGTTAAACTGAGTCCTGTCTATGACAATTAGAGGGTCTTTAGTGCCCTATTCCAGACAATTTTATTGGAATTACGGGCTGGGAGTGGGAATGTCAATGTCGAGGAGGTTGAGGGTTTAAAGAGGAAACCACAGTCAAGAAAAGTGTAGCAGCAAAATGTAGATAGAAGTAGAGATGTCAAATACGAAGTATCCTTTGAAGGATCTTATTTGGGAAGGGGAAGGGAAGAGAGAGGGAAGCATTGAGGGAGAAGGAGAGAAAGACACAGGTTATGGGAGGGAGTTTTTAAAAGATAACAGATACCTGAGCATTTTTATAGGCTATGGCAGTGGATATGGCAATTAGAGAAAAGGATGAAATAACACAGAGCAGAAATAACACAGAGCAGAAATAACTTGAAACAAGCACCTGGAGGAGACATTTGGGTGAAGAACACAAGACAAGGGACCAACAATAAACTGGAGAAAGGCTGCCTTTGTCTGAAACTGGAGGAAAAGTGAGAGGTGTGGGGTTAGGCATAGCGCCAACCTTCTCTCACAGGTGGAGACCGACAGGTCTGCTGGCAGAGGAAGGCTGGAGGGGAGTGAGGAAGGTTTAGGAGGGCAGATGTAAAAGAGACAACATGACCGTTGTCGTGATGACTGAAATTAAACCCTCAGATGAATAAGAACATTCTGTTAGAAAAAAAGGAATTTGTTTAGACTGCAGCCCCTGGGGGTGCTTTTCGTCTGAAGAGATAACCAGCTTACTTGAAATTTATTTTGCCCTTTATTTTTTCACACGTCTGTGATCATTGTAATTAAATTGGCCTTTATTCTTGTGAGTAATCAAGGAATGTTCTGGGATGAAGCATGTCACAGCCTGCAAAACAGCTACACTCATTTCTCCCTGTGGATCCAGTTAGCAGCCACCCCGGGCCCATCATCACACTGCCTATTCCGGTGACACCACTGTCCTAATGGTAGAGAATCACAGTAAGTTTGGTTTGGCAACACACAGAGGTTGTTAAGGATCCTTGTGAAGGGGCCGGGTTCCTGGTACTGAGGGGACAGGTCTGCTCTGTGTAACAGTATTGTGGCAGACAAGCTCTGACAACAAAGGGCACAACATCTCCTTTGGAGACCGGATCATGGGGCCGAGCAAGACGCTAGCTGGGCCTGTCGGCCTCAGAAAAAAAGATGATCTTGAAACAATTTGGGCAGGAAGACAGCAGGATTCTTTATTTCTTGGCACAGGAATGAATGAATCTTTATCCCAAATGCAAAGCAGGCATTAAGTCCAAAGACAATAAATAATGAGACCAGCATTCCAGGAACAATCACGGGCTTTTTCTGTGTGTTCACAGTGAAAACAGTCCCACAGGGCTTCAAAGAGACATGTGGACTTCTTTTTCTCTTCTTAAGTAAACAAAATTAAGGAAGAACAAGCACTTCCTACAGCTGTGGATGCCCAGAATTTCTCCCTACCCTATCCCAACCCTGACCCCAACCCAAGGAGCCCTCATCCTTTCTAGCTCAAAGCAGCTTGTACACATAGTGACCTTAATACACACAGTGACCTTGAGATTGAACGTGAAGTTATCTGGGCACCCCTTTTGAGAGCAAGGTTGAAATATTCTCCAAAGCATAACGTACTTTCCTAAACCCTCTGTACCTCACTGCCTTTTTCCTACTCTTTGAAGATAAATATATATTTCTTCGAACAAACCATAATATCGATCCTGTACGCTTACAAAATAGGTAAACTTGGGAGGGGGCGGTGAGATAGCTCACGTTGAAAATGCATGCACTGGGGAACTTTGAATTGCAAGCTCTTTGATGCTTTTTAAAAATTAGTTTTTATTTATAGAAATAAGTGAATTTGGTCTTCCGGTATAAAAGGACATACCACTATTCCTTTAGCTCAGCATTCAACTCCAAAAGGAGAAGCTTCATGCTAAAAACTAGCCTGAAAAAAGCTGGTGCTGGTGATGTTGGGACCTGGAGTCGGCCACCCCTTTGTTTTCCACTTCCTGTGAGGCTGGCAGAGGGCCATCCCCGTAGAGTCTTTGTAGAGGCTGGCAAGGCTCTTTGCGGAGTCACCTTTTGCCACTTCCCAGAAATCACTCCTGAGTCAGGGAATTGCAAATAAAGTTTGCTCCACATCACAT